CATAAGCTTTTGAGTTTTAAATTTTCTCTCCCTCCCTCCCTGCCTTCTTCCCCAGGACGGTGTGCAAGCTGATACAGGTTCTACATATACAGTCCCATTAAACATATTTTCACATTAGTTATGTTGTAAAGAAGAATTAGAACCAATAGGAGGAACCACAAGAAAGAAGAAACAAAACAAAACAGAAGAGGATCTGCATTCCAATTCCATAGTTCTTTCTCTGGATGTGGATAGCATTCCCATCATGAGACTTTTGGAGATGTCTTAGATTCTTGCATTGCTGAGAAGAGTTAAGTCTATCAAAGTTAGTCATCACACAACATGGCTGTTAACGGTGTACAATGTTCTCCTGGTTCTGCTCACTTCACTCAGCATCAGACCATACAAGTCTTTCCAAGTTTTTCTGAAGTCAGCCTGTTTATCATTTCTTATGGCACAATAGTATTCCATTACATTCATATACCACAACTTGTTCAGCCATTTCCCAATGGATAGGCATCCCCTCAGTTTCCAAATCTTTGCCATCACAGAAAGAGCTGCTATAAATATTTTTGTACGTGTGGGTCCTTTTCACATTTTTATGATCTCTTTGGGATGCAGCCCTAAAAGTGCTATTGCTGGGTCAAAGGGTATGCACATTTGTATAGCCCTTTGGGCATAGTTCCAAATTGCTCTCCAAAATGGTTGGATCAGTTCACAACTTCACCAACAATGCATTAATGTTCCAGTTTCCCACATCTTCTCCAATACTTATCATTCTCCTGTTTTGTCATGTTAGCCAATCTGATAAGTGTGATGTGGTACCTCAGAGCTGTTTTGATTTGCATTTCTCTAATCATAGTGATTGAGTATTTTAAAAACATGACTATAGATAGCTTTAATTTCTTCATCTGAAAACTGCCTGTTCCTATTCTTTGACCATTTATCAATTGGGGAATGAGTTGTATTCTTATAAATTTGACTCTATTCTCTACATATTTTAGAAATGAGGGCCTTATCAGAGAGACTGGTTGTAAAAATTCTTTCCCAGTTTTCTGCTTCCCTCCTAATCTTGGTTGCATTGGCTTTGTTTGTGAAAAAACTTTTCAATTTAATGTAATCAAAATTATCCATTTTGCATTTCATAATATTCTCTATCTCTTGTTTGGTAATGAATTCTTCCCTTCTCCATAGGTCTGACACATAAACTATTCCTTGCTGTCCCAGTTTGCTCACAATATTAGACTTTATATCTAAATCCCATTTTGTACCCATGGGTGCTGAATGTACCCATTTTGACTTTGTTTTGATATATGGTGTAAGATGATTATGAATATTTGTTACAAGGATTTGTTTTGTATTGGTTTTCAGTGGGGGTGGAGGGTAAGGAAAGGGAGGGGAGGGGATAAAGGGAGAGAGAATAAATGCCTATTATTTGTGGGAGGAAAACTTCTAGTTAAAAATTTTAAAAAGAAATGTCTAATAAGTAGTTTGCAATGTGAAACTGGAGCTCAGGAAAGACACAAGTGACTATACAAACATACACACAAGTGAATGCGCACACACGTGTATATATACATGTATCCACATATGTATATATGTCATCTGCCTAGAGATGATGATTAAATCTATGGTAGTTGATGAGATTACCAAATGAGAGAGTAAAGAAAAACATGACCCAAGACAGAGTCTTGGGGTATACCTACAATTATGTTATGAATGAAGATTCAGCAAAGGATTCTGAGAAGGAGCAGACAGGAAGGAGGAGAAATGAGAAAAAGCAGTATCATAACCTAGAGCAGAAGGAATATACAGAAGAGAGGGTGATCAACAGTGTTAAATGCTGTAGAGAGGTCTACGATGCCTGCCTGCCTCACCAAAAGAGCTGAAGCTTTAAGCTAAAATAAAGACGGCAAAGGTTTGGTGGGGCATTTGGGGTTAAGTGACTTGCCCTGGGTCACTGAGCTAGTTAAGTGTCAAGTATCTGATGCCAGATTTGTACTCAGGTCCTCCTGACTCCAAGACCAGACCTCTATCCATTGCACCACAAGGCTACTCTTGCTAGGTCAGACAGGTAGCATCTCAGCTGAGGACTCAGGCTGAAGCCAGAAGCTAGAAGCAGAGGGAATCTCTACAACCACATGCCCAGTGAAGCAATGCATAATAGTGACTGGAGACCAACAAAGTTCCACCTAGAAAAGATTATGAACTTTCCATCATTCAGTAGACATTACAGGCCATACTAGAACAATGGAGAATAGTTCAAGTAGAAAGAGAGTAATATCATCAGAAAATGGCATGGCTGCTGCGTTGGAGGTATGAGCTGCCCTCCACTCACATCCTCTGGATATACTCTTCCCTATCTCTGTACCTTTGCATGTACTTCATGGCCATACATTTTCCATACATATGTGCACCTCCATGTGTGTAACCTCATCATATATGTTCCTTATTGTGCTCCTCCTTCCACTGATGGTCTGTGTACTTGTGTAAATGTGCCTCAGGTTTACAAGGGAAATATTAAGTTGCAACATTTCTTATTATGTTATTTTATTAAATGCCTTTGCTTTGAACTAATCTCATTCTCTAGCTGGTTGTCTTGTTGGTAAAAGTAAACACATCAATGGGAGTTCATTTTGTGTTTGTGTGTGTGAGTGCATGTATGTGTTTATTTATTTAGAGACTCAGAGTGGAACTTGAGCCTGGGTAGCCTTTCTCGGTTGGGGGTGTCCTAAGTGATAGATGATTGTCATTTTAGGCTAATAGAAACTGAAATATAAGAGGATTTTTGCATCTAGAGGAAAGGCAGGGTCTTAGGTAAAGGAAGCAAATATAACTATACACATTTGGAAGATGTCTAAAAAAGTTAAAAGTTCACCTTTACAAGTATAAATTAAGTCCCATAGAATTAGAGAGGATTGCAAATTGCATATACCTGGGTTTTGAAGTGTGTGGGGGGTGGGGTGGGCAGGAGGTGGAGTGAGATAAGTTTTAAGGATTTGTTGTTGTTCAATCACTTCAGTTGTGTTGACTCTTTGAGACCCCATTTGGGATTTTCTTGGCAAAGATACTGGAGTGGTTTGCCCTTTCCTTCTCCAGCTCATTTTACAGATGAGGAACCGAGGCAAACAGGGTTAAGTGATTTGCCCAGGGCCAAACGGTTAGTGTCTGTGGCCAGATTTGAAATCAGGTCCTCCTGACTCCAGGGCCAGTCCTCTATCCACTGCACCACCCTAGCTTCCTGGTTTTAAGAATTATTAGCCCCTTAACTGGATCCAGCTGGCTCACTCCTGATAACTTTTTTTCTTTGTTTCTACTGATTAATAATCCGAAAGACAATATTTTTCCAGTGGGAGTAATTAGGGTTCTCCCCCATCCCAACCCAAGGCCAGGAAGCTCAAACCAGCTATCTGTTACTGCCTCTACAATCCATCTCCCCAAACAGTGCAGCAGCCTTACATGCTCTCCTGCTACACCCCCTCCTTTTTATCAGACCATCTCCCATTATCACCTTGTCCTCCTACTGATTCTTCCTTTTTAGTATCCTCTTCTCAGTCCACCCAAATCTCTTAGCTAGATCATAATTCAGAGGAGAACTAAGTGTTTCTGGAATGGGAGAAACTAGCTTGCAAAACCTCCCCCTTCCATTTTTTAATTTGATATAGAGGTGAGACTCTAGATTGTAATAAACATGGTCTTTTGCCATGAACTAAGTGTTACTGGTTTTGTTTTGGAGAATTGTGACTCAATATATGTAGAAACTGCCTCTACCTATAACAAAGCATTACAAAGTAGTTTGTGTTTAACTTACTCCTGGAGAACAGCCTAGGGCAGGGAACTGACAGTTTAACAGAATTGCCCAGCTAGTTGATATACTTAAACCCTCGTCATTCTGACTCCCAGTCTAACCTTCTACCCAATATGCTTCTTCTCGTGTTACCGACATAAATAGTGGTAAACCGAGATTAAGGAAGAATGAGCATACTAATAATATTCACCTGGCTACGATATATGGCTGTGAAACATGGAACACCACCATGCTGGAAGAACTCAAACTATAAATAACTGAATAGAAAGAGGCATGGTAGGTGTAAACTGACTTAAAACTAATATTTGAAAGTGAGAGGCCAAAGATATCTATTAAACTATTAGCTTAAAATGGCACTAAGACTTGTGACACTATGTGTATATATATATATACACAAATGTATATATACACGTGTGTGTATATTGTATATAATATATATGTAATATATTGGCCCACTTCCTTTTCATACAGACATTCATACATATACATTATATACATACACTTGCCCACTTCTGGGACAGTCCTAAATCTGGAGAATGAAAGACAACAGATGGGTAGGGTTTAGGTTATACAAATTATACACTGGCACCTCCAGATATTAAAAAAAAAAATTAAGCCCGGAAAGCCCTTAAGACCCTTGGGAAGAGCCTTAATGGAGGATTTAGCTGAAAAACCCTGGCCAGGAATTGCACAGGATGAGGACAGTACGGGTTGCAATCAGCACTAGTGAAAGGAATATCCACGTTGATGAAATTTCTGATGACAGATTATACAGCAGGTTAAAGAATACACATGCATAGTCTCGGCCTGGGGAACCCTGGTGTTAAAGAGTTTGAGAAACACAACTGGAGGAGATCAGAGGTTGGTAAGCCCACCCTAGCGTCTTAAGAGTGTCCTAAAGCAAGAAAGAGGTCTCTAACCCATTTCCATTCTATGCACCCTCACTGTAATGTCTAAGGCCACTGGAGGCTGAAAACCAACCCATCTTTCGGGATTACGCTCTGCTGGGGAAAGGGAGGGGTGGGGTGGTCTAAGAGCCCACGTTCAGACTTTGGGACACCGGGAGGCAGCAGCGGTGGCGGATCCCTAGACTTCTGTGCTTGCTGCAAACCGGTCTCTCTTCCCTGCAGGGTGTGCGGGGATGGAGAAAGGGGGAGGAGAGAAAAGGGGAAGAGCTTGGGCAGCGGCCGCCAGCGGGCGGGGCCTCCGGTACCCAGCAGCGCAGTTTGGTCTTTCTGCTGCTCTCACAGACTCGCACGCTCACTGCACCCGGGCCGGGGCCGGGCCGGGGCCGGGCCGGAGCCGGAGCCTCCAGATCCCAGGCGACGCCGGTTGTTTCACGCTTCCTCTAACCCTCTGTACCCAGGAGGAAGGGGTAGGAGGTGGAGAAAGAGAGATAGAGGAAAGCACTACGTTACGAGAGACTTTGTTGCCTTAGGAAGAGACGGTGCATGGTATTTGCTGCTTAGCTCCAGAACCAGGCAATCGGTGACTCCTCTCTGGCCCCAGGGACCAGCGGGGAAGGGAAGGAAAAAGGATCGGAGACGCGCGCGCTCCCACACTTACATACATACAAACACACACACACACACACACACACACACACACACACGCACGCACTCCTGAGCGACAGTCTTGAGGGAGTTTGTACAGAGAGCTGAAAAGCTCCAGCTCCGGCCCCAGCTGCGGCCCCAACTGCTCTGAGGCTCGGCCGTCGTTGCCATCCCCCTCCCACCTCTGCTCGTCTTCCCCCAGCCTCGGCCAGCCGGCAGCCCGGCAGCCTCTCCTCTCTCTGCTTCCTCTAGCCAGCACAGCTGCCTCTAGGTCTAGGAGCCGCCGCAGCCGCCGCAGCAACATCCCCGGAACTAGCAGACTGTGGCGCAACTGGTCTGGGGAGCGGAGGCGCTGAGATCCTGCTCCAGGGTAAGAGACTAGTTTTCTTTCCTTCCCGCCCGCGCTGCCCTCTCCTTCTCTTTCTCAGGGCCCTCGGCATTCGGGGAATGAGGGTTGGTTTCTTCGTTTACCCCCAAACCTGGTTCCTCTTCCCTTCCTCCCTGCCACTCCAACTCATTCTCATTCTCCCAAGAGGACTTTGCAAGCCTGTGCTTGGCAGGAGGAAGGGGCTTTGTAGAGCCCCGGCAGGGTGGTTGGAGCTTTGAAGGCAGACTTTCCCGCCGGCTACTAACAGCTGCTCGGCTTGGCTGGCTGTCCCCGTGCCCGCCTCATCCCCGACAGGTCCGCAGTGACACCAGCGGAGTTGCCGGGGGCGGGGGGGGGGGGGTGCACTTCATGGAGTATACCCCTTAGGGACACCAGAGGTAGAAGAGGGGCCAAATTCGGGTTTGGCATTAGAGGATGAGGTTCCCAGTTCCCCATGCTTTGGACCTGGAAACTTATTAGAGGCATTTAGGATGTCAGGAGAGGTTTCGAATCTTTCCTTTGGTCATTACTGGAGCCGGAGCTGGTTTGAACAGGTGCAGTGTTGTTATGACAGAGAATGCTGCAATCTACTAATGCCTCCCCCCAACCCCCAGCCCCCACTCTTCACACACCTTTTCAGATGATGCTTTAACGGCTCAGGAGGAGAATAGGAAGGGGGCATGTCTGGAAATGATTTTGAAATAATTGTCCCATCTGATCGGAGAAAGCAGCAAGTGCCAAGGTCTGTTTATGAGACATCCATGCAGATAAGACTTGCCAGTTCTCATCCCACCAGCGAGCTTGTGCAGGACATAGTTGATTATAAAGCTCATCAGAAGAAGTTGCTTGGATAGGTGAATTAATTCTTTCATTGAACCTACTGGAATCAGAACCCCCGAACTAGGGAAAGGCAATTAATTATGCAGAGAGTCTGTAAAAGAGCAAGCCAAACGAAAACAACCCAACAAACCCAGGCTCTTGGAGGCCCAGGAAATATGGTGAGTTCCTATCAGGGAGGGACACCACTCTATGACTGTCTGCTACCAAAACCCAAGTGTTTTCTCTTAGGTAGAGGCCAAGCTTCAAGATTTTTTGGGGTGGCGAGGTGCGGTGTGGGGAGAGGGGGAACTCTGGTGCTCTTTTTGGTGATAAGCAGTGACCAAAAATTACTCTCCCTTTTTTGATGAGAGGACAAATTGTTGCTACAGCTAGCTGGAAAAGCAGAGTGTTTCTTTGTAACTTTAATGCGATAACGTAGAAGACTGTCAATGAATGTTTTTATTAAGAGAATTTCTTAACCGGAAGGAGTCCCTGCCACAGGGGAGGTGGTCCATTTGTAATCTCTATAAGTAACTTCAGTTATGATTTACAATGAATACTACTGGGGGAAAAGAAGTAACAAGAGTCTTAAGTATTGTAACAGATACAATTTGATAGAGATTGTGGCACAGTGGAATATACATACACACACACACACACACACACATATATACGTATATGTGTGTGTGTATGTATATATATCTATATAGATATATATATCTATATAGATATATATATATCTATCAGATGAGGAGTCAGAAGACCTGGGTTTGACTCCTTACCCTGATGCTTATTATTAGCTCTTTCAGAATATCACTTAACCTCTCATCTGAAGTTTTCTTATCTATAGTTCTATTCCGTGAATATTTATTAAGCACATCAAAGCTTATTAAACTTTCTATATTACCCAAACTGTCTCCTTACAGGAAAGGTGCTTTATGAAATTAATTTGTGTTTATTTTGCATATGTGTACGTGTTCTATTTAATTTTTTTGGTAGCAGCATGTAGTTGGCACTTAAATAATTATTGTTTGATAACTCTTAACGCTAGGAATTTGGGTAGATGAACTCTAATGGCATTTAATTAAAAACGCTAATGCCACCTTATGTTTTTGTTGTACTTTTGTAACATTCTTAAACAGTATCTCATTTAACCCCCATACAGCTCTACCATTGTAGGCATATTTGGGCTTTTTATCCTCATTTTACAGATGAGGAAATAAAGTCCTAGAGATATTGTAACCTTCTTGAAATCTCATGGATAGTAACTGATGAAGATGAGACTTGAACCCAGGCCTAATGACACCCATTCTAATCCCCTTCCTACTACATTCCCGGGTCTTCTGACTCCTGGCACAGTTTTCTTTCCACTATGCCACAATTAAAGTTTTGAGTTCAGTCAGAGCTAGGACAAGAAGGTATTTGTGTGCCCTTAGGCAAAATTTTAAAATTGTTCCCTCAGTATATTACTGTCAAGGATTTGAGCCTTTAGTATAACATGTTGAGTTATAGCAAAAGAATTCCATTCCACATGACCTGTATTTTCCTTGGATTCAGAATATTTTTAAATGTCCCTCATTTGCATATCTCTATATGATGTGTCCTAGGCAGCTGTTTGCTTAGTCCACTGCTTATCCAGTATTTGATGGTAGTGGCATTTGAAGTACATGGTGGGGGGAGGGAGGAATATAAATGAGAGAACAAGGTAGTTAATTTCAGTTATTTCTAAGTTGTGAAAATCGAACAAATCACATTCTCTCTCTAGGCCTCAGCTTCTTTATCTGTCAAAAGAGAAGATTGACTTAGTCCCTTTCTAGCACAAAAAAAAAAATCTGTGCTTCTGTAACTTCTGCATAGTAAATTTTTTTTTTGTTTTGGCTTACAATGCTGTTTTTTGTTTGTTTTTTAAAGTGTCAAAGGATATTTTCTATAAAATACCAGGCTGCCATAATAGACTGCTTATTCTATACCTTTGTTTTCTCTCTGTCTTCTGCTATGTAGTATCTGTATGACTTTGGACAAATAATTTAACCTTCCTGGGCTTCAATGGGTTGGATTAGGTCCCTTTTAGTTCTAAATCAATTGACACATTCTCTCTCTCTCTCTCTCTCTCTCTCTCTCTCTCTCTCTCTCTCTCTCTCTCTCTCTCTCTCTCTCTCTCTCTCTCTTTCTCACTCTCTCTCACTCTGTGTGTCTCTCTCTTTGTCTCATTGGCTATCTCTCCCTTCCTCACTCCCTTCTTCCCTTCCTCCCCCCTCTCTTCTCCTCTCTCTTTCTGTATATATGTGTATATATATTTATGGTTATATTCAATAGTCAATAAATATATTCAATAGATCCATTAATATTAAACTCTCAGGAGGATACTCTCTATAGCCATGCAAATTGGCACCTTCTCTATAACTTAATGTCTTTGTTACCTCAGATATTGAAAGGTTAAGTGATTTATCCAGGTTCCCATAGCCAGGTTTTACTGGCTATGAGGCTAGTTCTTTACCTACTGTATCACTCTGCTGCAATTTGATACTATAAGCCAAAGGGATATGCTTTAAAACATAGGTAGCAATTTATTACTATCACTTGTACTGCTACTACTACGAATATCTAGCATTTATAGAACATTTTAAGGTTTGCAAAGTTTCACATATGTTAGCTCATTTGATTCTTACAACAATCCTGTAAAGTAGGTGCTGTAATTGTCCCCATTTTACAGAAGATGAAATTGAGACACTGACTTTACCAGGGTCACATAGCTAATGAGTGCAACTTGAGTTGTAGCAGAAGAATTCTATTCCACATGACCTGTATTTTTCTTGTATTCAAAATGTTTTAAATGTCCCTTATTTGCATATCTCTATATGCTATGTCCTAGGCAGCTGTTTGCCTAGTTGACTGCTTATCCAGTATCTGATGGTAGTAATGTTTGAAGTACTTAGGAGAAATGCAAATAAGAGAACTGATATAATTTTTATTATTTTAGGAAGGGTGGGCTATTTCCAGTATATTGATGCTAACTCTTCAACACAGAAGACACTCTCAAACCCATTCTGATTTCTGATTCCTCTTTCCACCCCTCCCTCATTCCCCCCTGCTCCATTTTCCACACTGGTGGCAACTGGTGGGTAGAGTACTGGACCTGGAATCAGGAAGAGCAGAATTCAAATCCGTTCTCAGAACTTACTAGCTGTGTGACCCTGGGCAAGTCACTTACTCTCTTTTTACCTTTCCCTTAACTGTAAATAATAGCAGCTACCTCACAAGATTGTTGTGAGAAATGAGATGGTATTTGTAAGAAGTACTTAACAGTGCCTGGCACCTAGCAGGCGCTATATAAAAGCTGATCCCTTTCCCTTCCTCCTGGTAGATAGTAAAATAGGGTTTTTCTTTCTCAAGGAACATTGGCAAAGTTTTACTTTCTAGCTCTAATATTAAAAGTGTTATGTAACAGAGTTATTTACTCTGAATATTCTGGGGTAGAATCATAGAATATTGGAGTTGGAAGGGAATGTAGAGATCACCATTACAAGCTCTGTCTTTTATTTTATTTTATTTATTTCTTTTTTTTAGGCAATTGGGGTTAAGTGACTTGCCCAGAGTCACACAGCTAGTAAGTGTCAAGTGTTTGGTCTCAGGCTGGATTTGAACTCAGGTCCTCCTGACTTCTGGGCCGGGTGCTCTATCCACTGCACCACCTAGCTGCCCCTAAGCTCTGTATTTTAAAAATGAGCAACCTGAGGCCAGGAGGGAGTGAGAGATTTTCCAAGGTCACATACAACTAGTTAGCAGTAGAACTTCTACTAAAAGCCAGGCCACCTATTACCTGCCTGTTCCTCTGCTCACTCTGGCCTATTAACTCTTTTAAAAGGAAGTGTGTACAAATTCAATTCTGTGCAGCTGTTTCTTTGGCAAAGGGGCATTTTTATAAACTCCTATCGTAATTAGTCTTGTAAAGGCCTCAGTGATTTCCAGACATCTACTACTACTTGACTGAAAATTAAGAGAGATTTGGCACTTTGAAAACATTTTTTAGAGGGATAGGTAGGTGGTGCAACGGATGGAAGGGGGAAGAATATCAGAATTCAGATTCAGCCTCAAACATTTATTATCTGTGTGACCTTGGGCAAGTCACTTAACCCCATTTGCCTCAGTTTCCTAAGCTACAAAATGAGCTGGAGAAGGAAATG